TATGAAAGTGAGAATTTTGTATTTTTTAATGTTTTTATTGTTTTGAAGTTTGTACCAGTTAACCGTTTTGTCATTTAGGAGTAGAACCTTTTGAAGCGGGGATTGCAGTCTTTTAGCGTGTCCACATAGAGTGCGGTGCTTAAAGGTGGGGTAAGTGATTTCTGGCAGCCAATGTTATTTCAAATCACCAAAACAAACACGCCCCTAACCTAAAAGGGCCTCGCCCCTATTTTGATAGCTCCGCCCCACACATGTACATAACCCGGGCAACAATTAGTTCTGTGAATTTAACAAAGCAAAACCAATGTTACACCGTGTCTACACCGGACGTGAGTGGCGCAGTGCAACAAGATACTATAGAACTCATCATAATCAGTGATGCTGTCTATACTGGATGCGGCGCGGCACGACAAATCCCCCACAGAAAACTGCTGCTGTGTTCTATTTATGACGTGTTGACAAATTTCAAATGATTTTTTTTTATCGCGTCCAGTGTAGACAGACTTTAGCTGTGGAGACAGATTTATCGTCATTTAAAAAAATAAAAATACATACCCCACCTTTAACCAATTGTATTGCTTTCACAACTAAAGTCTGTCTACACTGGACGCATCTGGTGCAGACACGGTGTTACTCCCCTATCGAGAAGAAACAAAGCAACCTCGGCGTCCGATCGCAGGCCTTCCGCTCCTTGAGTTCTCTCCAGCACTGGAAAGCTAATCCGATATTTACACGAGTCCTACTTGCCTTATCGTAAGCCTCCTTTTGTTCCGCAGACGCTTTCCTTTTTTGCTTTTTATCCGCCATCTCTATCTTTCTGTCGCTCGGCTCGCTAATGTCCGTCCTGTGCACTGAGCGCTCTCTTCTCCACATCATGAGCCCCTTACTGCTGATTGGCTACAAGTTTGTTTTGGTACTCGGCCTGACTCGGTTTTCTAAAGCGTTTTTGAAAAAATACATACCCCACCTTTAACCAATTGTATTGCTTTCACCACTGTGTGGTGTGGGTATGGTGCGAGGTGAAAATCCAAAAGGTCCCCGCTGGCCATTTCTCTCCTACTGGTTATTTCTGTAACTGGTAGAGTTGTGTATTTGGTTTGTGATTTTAAGATCTTGTGAACAAAAACAAATGTGTTAAATTTAATGTCTCATTTTTGTGTATATAAATAAACTACTTAATGTTTATACCTTGTCCATGTCTCCATCCTCACCCTGCCTTTGGTAACGAACCTGTGTGCCCTTGCATAGGGCTGTTGTGTCCCGGTATATTCCGGGTGCGTGGTCGACTATAGGATTTGTCTGTTGTTATTGGTTACTTCCCCGACCTGACCACTTTGCCACATGTGGAAACCGTGCAACATTCAGGAGCTGGTTTTCAACCCCTTCCCCGTGAATTTTATAAATACAATAGCTTCGATTCTAAAACCTATTATACAGTCAAAAGTTTACATGCAGCTTGCAGAATCTGCAAAATGTTAATTTTACCGAAATAAGAGGGATCATACAAAATTCATGTTATTGTTTATTTAGTACGGACCAGAATAAGATGTTTCACATAAAAGATGTGTACATATAGTCCACAAGAGAAAATAATAGTTGAATTTATAAAAATTACCCCGTTCAAAAGTTTACTTAAGTTGAGTTAAGTTGACTCTTAATACTGTGTTGTTAGCTGAATGATCCACAGCTGTGTTTATTTGTTTAGTGATAGTTGTTCATGAGTCCCTTGTTTGTCCTGAACAGTTAAACTGCCTGCTGTTTTAGCTAGGCTCCCACAAATTCTTTGGTTTTACAGCATTTTTGTGTATTTGAACCCTTTCCAACAATGACCGTATGATTTTGAGATGCATCTTTTCACACTGAGGACAACTGAGGGACTCCTATGCAACTATTACAGAAGGTTCAGACGCTCGGTGATGCTCCAGAAGGAGAAACCATGCATTAAGAGCCAGGGGTGAAAACTTTTGAACAGAATGGAGATGTACATTTTTCTTAATTCGCCTGATACAGAAGATACTTGCATGTTTCCCAGAAGACAAAATGTTAAATTTGCCCTGATCTTCAAATTCAAAAAGTTCTCACATCCCCGGCTCTTAATGCGTTGTTTCCTTCTGGAGCATCAGCGAGCGTTTGGACCTTCTGTAAAGACTTGCAGTGTAAATGCAGCCTAAGTCAACTTTCAGTGACCCGGGCCATATGCCCAAAAGGGAAGGAGGGGGATTAAAGACTGTTGAAGGGACAGTTGAGCAAATGGTTTTCTTTGAGATCTTCTCTTCAGATTAGAAAGTTTGTTTTGCTGCATGGCATCTGTTTTGTTAGGTATCATTTGGGGTCTTACACTGGTCATGGCTAACGTTCTCCAGTTACTAGAAATGACTGACTTTTCATCATGTCTAACCACTGATACTTATTGCCCAACTTGAAAAGAATGATAGAATTAAGTTAAAGGGAAGTAATTGAGAAATTTCTAAAATGTTTACATTCTGAGGCGGATTGTCGGCAACAGCAGTGCAATATTTTTACAATGATCTTTCCTGTATGTGTAGAAAACTAGGCCGAGGTTTTGCTAAAATGAACATCAACAGTGGCCTATTTCCTCATTCGTATGGGATGAAATTTTAGCCAAGTATAGATGGTTTTCATTTAGAGTCTATAGTCTGATTTTGTCAATGGTGCGATGCAGCAATGAGTTGCTTTGCTGCAGTTCATGTCCAAAACCAATTATGACCCAGAGAGACCGATTCACACAATGAAGACTAGGAGTCAGAACGGTGTTTCAGTCCATTGAGAAAGTGAGTTTACTGAAGACCAAGTTCTCCACATTTCTGAAGGGACATTTGAACCCAAAACTTGAAATAAGAAACACTAATAGGCATAAGTGAAAACAACTGATGTCCTTCTATGATTCTGACTGGTCACAAGCTACCATATGTTCCAGATATGGAATTGTTTTGCACTAATGAATGAACAAGGGTGTAAAATACTGGAGTAATTTTACTTGATTACTGAACTTAAGTATTATTAACAGTTATAAACTTATAAATTAATAACAATATAAAAATTAATATTTTAATGATTTTATATTCCCTATTATTATGCATTTGACATACCTTTTATCTGCAAGCGTATGTTTTCTGAAAGTATCATTCTTAAAGTATTGTTTATTCAGAACCACAGTTTAATCATCATTGTTGAATCGTAATGCTGAGTTGGATTCACATTTAGGAATGAAAAATGATTCCAATAACGGTCACTGACCTCTAGTGGTGAGAAGGCAGTTCTACCAGCATGTACTTACAATAATTGGCACATCTGCAGCAGACTTCAAAAACTGCTCCACTCTGAGACACTTTCAGAAGTATGTGCAGAAGCCCCGTCCTGTTCGGCGTTTGGATGGTTGAGACTGTAAAGACTCACTATGATGCTTGGGAAATCACACTAGAGCTCCTCAGAGAAAACAAAGCGAAACGCACATCTCACGTGTTCCCTTCGCCATCACTAATTCAGATGCTGCAGGAGACAAATGGCCACAGTCTATTTTTATTAACATTAAGAAGGCTCAAGCAAACAGCTGTAAAGGGTGACACATTTTCCAGAGCTTATAAGGTCTGCTGGCCTCTGGGTCTCATGAGTAAGCCCTGTGTTATTCCTGAAGAGTCTCGCTTCTGCCAGGAGAAGAGTCAGGGTCTTGAAGGAAACGGAAGAAATGTTGCTCCCTGTTGCTGCTATAATTGAACATATCTTAATTTAACCCCTCGCTGAAGGACAAACCCGTGTCATCGTCTATTGCGTTCACCTTTTGTGACTCTTTTGTGGTACTCGGAGACCTGCACCACTCTTTTGCCTTGTAAAAGTGCATGCTCGTGTGCAGTCTGACGGGAATATGCATGATGATTTTCTGTGAAGAGAAAAAAAGAATGAAACAAACAGTGGACAACAACTTTGGACAAACCAAACATTTCAGACAAATCGATCAGATGTCACCACAGCAGGATTTCTTTTTGTCAGGGAACTATATCAGACCAATCCGTTCGTATTTGGTTCGAGCTGCCGGTTCTATCAACAGACACACACAGTGAAAAAAGCATCAGTACCTTCTTTGATATGACTTATTAATAAAAATGCTTGAGCTGCAAAAGTGCTGCAACTGTACAGAAGCATGCAGACGCTCCCCCACAGCTGAACCATAACACCCCGTCCCAACAAACCATATAAAGAACGCCTGATCCTATACCAATCTACACCATGCTCTTTCTTTAAGCAGTTCACCGCATTCCAATAGCGATGACGAGTTTATGCTTGTATCTTGATATTCATAAGGATGTTGAGCACTCAACTCTACTCCTTTAGGCTTCTTATGATATCAGGTGGTTAAGCTCAAAGCATCTGAACAAACCATTACAGAGAACATTAATGCTGTTTATTTAGATTGCATTCCTTCTCGCACCACAAACCATCTTCATTAATATGACTTAGGCCTATTTATAAATGCGCCCAGCTTGCAGATGTCTTGAAACTGTACACCAGAGCCATCTGACAGCTCCTCCACGGCCGTGCCTGCATTGGTGGAGTGCCAGCTGGATTAGCCGAGGAGCGGCGTCTGATTCCCATTCCCCCTCAGCCAAATGTATAGGATATTCACTCTATACGTTCTTGTAGGTGTTCTTCAAAGCTGGTCTGTTGGGTACTCTTGAGGAGATGAGAGATGAGAAACTAGCACATCTGGTTACCATGGCTCGGGCTTTGTGCCGTGGATACTTCATGAGGAAGGAGTTTGTCAAAATGATGGAAAGGAGGTACAATGAACTTAAAAAACAGTTTGGAACAACTCTTTTTGTATCACAGAGTGATAATGACTGATTAACTTATTACATTTTACACAGAGAAGCAATTTATTCCATCCAATACAACATCCGCTCATTCATGAATGTCAAACATTGGCCATGGATGAAGCTCTACTTCAAGATCAAGCCTCTTCTGAAGAGTGCAGAGACTACGAAATGGCGGTGATGAAGGAGAATTATGAGAAAATGAAAGAAGATTTAACAAAGGCATTATCTAAAAAGAAATAATGAAACCAGTAATCAATGTTTCCATTTAGGTGAAAAACCTGACGGAGGAGATGGCCTCTCAGGATGAGAGCATTGGCAAGCTGAGCAAAGAGAAGAAAGCCCTCCAAGAGGCACACCAGCAGACTCTTGATGACCTTCAGGCAGAGGAAGACAAAGTCAACACTCTGACTAAAGCTAAGACAAAGCTTGAGCAGCAAGTTGACGATGTAAGATAGTTTTATGGTCTTATTCTCACGCCAAACATAAGAAAAAAATATTGCTCTATACCAGATTTTAATGCTACAGTTTCTGTCACAATAGCTTGAGGGCTCACTGGAACAACAGAAGAAGCTCCGTATGGACCTTGAGAGAGCCAAGAGAAAGCTTGAGGATGATCTGAAACTGGCCCAGGAGTCCATAATGGACCTGGAGAATGAGAAACAGCAATCAGATGAGAAGATCAAAAAGTGAGTGGATGTCAACCTTCCCACGATTACACATTTGACAAAACAGTATTTTGCACATTTTACAAAATTCTACTTTAAAAACAGGAGGCACTTTGAGATAAGTCAGCTTCTCAGCAAGATTGAGGATGAACAGTTTTTGGGAGCACAGCTTCAGAAGAACATCAAAGAACTTCAGGTAATGCTGACCATAATCTTTTCTATGTGAAACTGTGAAGTTGCTGGGCAAACCCACATTACAAAGATCACTAAATAATTAATTCTTTCTTTATTTAGGCCCGTATCGAGGAGCTGGAAGAGGAAATTGAGGCAGAGCGAGCTGCTCCTGCTAAAGTGGAGAAGCAGAGAGCTGATCTCTCCAGGGAACTTGAAGAGATCAGCGAGAGGCTTGAGGAAGCTGGTGGTGCCACTGCTGCCCAGATTGAGATGAACAAGAAGCGTGAAGCTGAATTCCAGAAGATGCGTCGTGATCTGGAAGAGTCTACCTTGCAGCATGAAGCTACAGCTGCAGCTCTCCGAAAGAAGCAGGCAGACAGTGTGGCTGAACTCGGAGAACAGATCGACAACCTCCAGCGGGTCAAGCAGAAGCTGGAGAAGGAGAAGAGTGAATACAAGATGGAGATTGATGACTTGACAAGCAACATGGAGGCTGTGGCTAAAGCAAAGGTAATATCACTAGAGGATAATTAAATATAAAAGCTTCTTTACAAACATCTCTAAATTAGCCTTAAAAGGTACAGGGTTACATACAGAAGCTGTGCCGCACCCTGGAAGACCAACTGAGTGAAATCAAGACAAAGAGTGATGAAAATGTGCGTCAGCTGAATGACATGAATGCACAACGTGCAAGACTTCAGACTGAGAATGGTAAGGCATGGCAAATAAGGTACAAATGTAAAAACCAAGGAATGTATTAAAAAGTGTGTTATTATATTTCATAGTAATATTTCTAATGTGATTTCAAGGTGAATTTAGCCGCCAACTGGAAGAGAAAGAAGCACTTGTCTCACAGCTAACTAGAAGAAAACAGGCTTATACACAGCAAATTGAGGAACTCTATAATCAATTTATTGAGGAAGAAGTCAAGGTAGAGTTATACAAAATTAATGAGTTAATTCATTTTGAAAATTAAGTTTCAACAATCTACATAATTGTAAAGACTGGATTATTCAAAAGCCCAAAATATGCTACCCTCAAGGCTAAGAATGCTGAGAATTATGGTCCTAGCAGAGTGGAAACAGAAGTATGAGGAAAGCCAGGCTGAACTAGAAGGTGCTCAGAAAGAAGCTCGTTCTCTCAGCACTGAGCTTTTCAAAATGAAGAACTCCTATGAAGAAGCTCTTGACCACCTTGAGACCCTGAAGAGGGAGAACAAGAATCTGCAACATAAATTACACTTTTATTGTAAAATAATGATTAAAACAGAGAGAAGCATTACGACAGTCATTTTTTTCAATTATGATAATTCTGCACTTTAAACCCTTTAGAGGAGATTTCTGACCTCACTGAGCAGCTTGGAGAGACTGGAAAGAGCATTCATGAGTTAGAGAAAGCCAAGAAGACAGTGGAGTCTGAGAAATCTGAGATCCAGGCTGCACTTGAAGAGGCCGAGGTGCCATTTTTCAGTACTGTGTTAACATGATACCATTGCATGAATAATATTAAAACAGTTAATATAGACTGGCTCAAAAGCTTAAATTATAAAATTCTGCTAATTATTTCCTTGTTAATCTCTCATAAATGTGCTGCGAAGAATTACAGAGGCTATAGTATATTTTGACAATGAATTTTAAAATAAAGTTTTTGCCTTTGTCCTTGTAGGGCACCCTGGAGCATGAAGAGTCCAAGATTCTTCGTGTGCAGCTGGAGCTGAACCAGTTGAAGAGTGAGATTGACAAGAAGCTTGCTGAGAAGGACGAGGAGATGAAATCGATTACTCTCTGGCTGTTCCTCTTGATCTGTTCTATGCAGAGCACTCTGGACTCTGAGGTCCGGAGCAGAAATGATGCCCTGAGAGTCAAAAAGAAGATGGAGGGTGATCTAAATAAGATGGAGATCCAGCTGAGTCATGCCAACCACCAGGCTGCTGAGGCCCAGAAACAGCTCAGGAACGTCCAAGGCCAACTCAAGGTATCCTTCTGTAGAATGAGGAATTGCAATACATCTTAAATATTTGATAATATGATACATGAATTAATTGAAGCATGACATGCCACTAACAAAGAAAGAACATATCGATGCGATATAATTCCGATATCGATATGAACACTATTTTTCTGAAATAGAAATCTTTATAAATACATTATAAATGCCTTTAGCATCACTTTTGATCAATTTTAAGCATCCTTGCTAAATAAAAGTATTCATTTCTATAATTTCTTTCCCAAAAAAATAATAAAACTTATACTGAATGGAATAGTGTATAATGTTACAAAAGCTTTTTATTTCAGATAAATGCTGATCTTTGGATCTTTCTATCTTATTAACACCAAGAAGAAGCTTGAGGCTGATCTGGTCCAGGTTCAAGGCGAGGTGGACGATGCAGTCCAGGAGGCCAGAAATGCAGAGGAGAAGGCCAAGAAGGCCATCACTGATGTGAGTGTTTACATTCTCTTACTCTACTCTAAATCAAAGTTATTTAACTTCATTTAGCTGCATGTGGTAACAGGGATCCTTCATGGAAGGCATTTCTATCTATATTGATTCTACTGAAGGTGCGTGAGTTGGAGGCTGAAGTTGAAGCTGAACAGAGAGGTGGTGCAGATGCTGTGAAAGGAGTGCGCAAATATGAAAGGATTGTGAAGGAGCTCATCTACCAGGTAAAACTACACTGGATTTAGACATTTAACACCTTTCATTATAATTGACATAGTTCAACTAAGATTATGAACAATATTTACACCCAAAGACTGAGGAAGACAAGAAGAACGTGACCCGACTACAGGATCTGGTAGACAAGCTGCAGCTGAAAGTGAAGGCCTACAAGCGCCAGGCTGAAGAAGCTGTAAGTCTAATGTCAAATGTCTTAAGTGTGAAGTTTTTATATTTTCTATTCAATACATTCAGTGTCATCAGTGCAATGCTCTGAAAGGGGTTGGATATCTTGTGTCATCCTAACAGGAGGAGCAGGCCAATACTCACCTGTCCAGGTACAGGAAGGTGCAGCACGAGCTGGAGGAGGCTCAGGAGCGCGCTGACATCTCTACGTCCCAGGTCAACAAGCTGAGAGCCAAGAGCTTCTCCACAGCTAAACTGGGCTCTACTGTAGTGCCAAGGCACTTGAAGAAGATTATGCTCAACATAAGACCCAAACAATGTCTGAACTCCAGTAACTGATACCCTTCACATAACAACCCTTTCTCAAGGTTAAGGCACTTGATCATGCCCATAAATACATCAAGTATCATTTTTAATCACAGTATTGGTGGCTTATTTTCAAATATTCATTTAATCCATCGAGATGTCAATTTACCTCATCTTAGCGAAGCATTCACTGCCATTATCTCATCATACTCTCTGTTCTACAAGATGTTTTCTAACAGTTTTCTTATAAACAAAACCCCCAAAAAAACGAATTAAGGCTGGACAGTTAATTACAATTAGTGCTAACATATCTTTGGTCAGTGCCATGATATTGATGAACGTAACAATCAGTTCCAAAAATTCCTGTTGAAACAAGCAGGAGCTACAAATACATGTAAATTCCTGTTGAGCTACAAATACATGACCAAATACAGTGAGTGCATTCTGCTGAGTGAACATTATTCTGTCTATATAAGACGCTGCTTCAGGCTCCTCTAAGGACTGACTGGAACTCAAAGGTGGGTGAGTTTCTCTTCATGTTCTCCTTCTACTACTAACCTAATATTACATACTAGTGTTTTGCATAATGGCTAATCCTGACTCATGGTCATTAGTCAGCATATTTAAGAGTTTACATTATGGACACTGTATATTCAACATGCTTTTGAAACTAATCTGACTGAATTAGACCAAGTGAGCACATATTCGCTGCATGGGATTCAATTTCAAGTTTCAAGTTTATTTGTATAGCGCTTTTCACGATACAAATCATTGCAAAGCAGCTTTACAGCAAATTAAGTTTCTACAATATTTAGTGGTAGCTTATCAGTGGTGACTGTCAGTTAATGTACATATGGCAGAAATGTACGGAAAGATAAATTAAAGACGTAATCAAACAGACGATGAACACTATTAACAGCAATTATTATATGATGCAATCAAACTTATAGCAAAATGTGGTAGTTCTGTATGTTGTTTCAGGGTTGACATCATCTGAGGTCCTCTGAGGGGTTGGCATCATCTCTTCTCAGGTGTTCTGGATCCAGACTGAAGCTTGTGTAAATCCTAGTTACCACGGGATGTCAATCCCAGCAGAAACAAAGAAACAAATAGAGACATAATTAGCGTAGCTGCTGTTCCAACCAAGGTTATTATAGTTTATATTTTTAAATTAGTTTTATTTTAATATCGTTTTCAAATTAGCTATAAAATTTAGTTTAGTTTTTATTAGTTTCATTCATATTTTTGTTAGTTTTAGTTTAGTTTTTATTTTGTGAACACATTTTTTATTTCGTTTTTATATAGTTTAGTTTCAGTTTTAATTAAAGTTTAGCAGAATTAACAGATCACTTCCAGAGCGCAGGCCAAAGAAAGACGTAGGCATAATTTAACTTTAGTGAGGCAAACATATAGCGACACAAAATTTACGCATGCTGAGATTGATTAGATAGTAAAAGTATACAAATGTACAGAAAGCAGGCAAGCCTTTTTACTAAATCTACACAAGTCGCGCTTAATGTCATATCCAATGATGTGTGTTGAGATATTTAGTATGAAAATAATGACAATTACAAGATGCTAGGCAAAAGTTTTGTTGTTTACAGAAAGGATGCGCGTTCTCATCTTTTTTTCTGTTAATTATCATGTTGCGCTGCATGTCTGTTTTTCTTCAAAGCACCAACTTAGAATGCCTAATGTTGGTTTGATTGCTTGTGTTACATGATAAAATAAATAATCTTGCTTACCTGATGTAATGGGTTTAATGCGGGTGCGGTTCGGATCGCGACTCGCGGTCTTTGTTAAACGGTTCTGGTCTGGTACAGAATTAAATTAGTGCTGCTGTCAGATAATGGGTCGGGTGTTCTGTTAAGTACTACTGGTGCACGTTTACCAAACAGGACCCGTGCAGGCTTTAAACTGCTTTGCGTCTCTTCATCAGATAAACCCATGTGCGTGATGCACCATTAGCCTACAGGTAGGCTATTTCCCTAAACCTCCACACAGCTCATATATTTTTCTGCCAAAGGGTGAGAACGTAATGATTACGAAAACGATTATTTATTTTTGGATAATTATTTTATTTCAGTTAGTTTTTCATTAACTGTTGTTAGTTTCATTTCGTTTTAGTTTTTCAAATATTTTGACGTTTTTATTTTATTTCAGTTTACGAAATTGTTTTTTCATCAATCGTTTTAGTCTTAGTTTTAGTTTTCGTTTACGAAAATAACCTTGGTTCCAACCAAGCAAAATTGATTTGTTTAACCCAAGCTAAAGAATAATAATGCACATTTGATCAGATATAACTGCAGTACAAGATTATGAGATGCATTATTTGAATGCTTGGCCAAAGAGATGTGTCTTTAATCTAGATTTAAACAGAGAGAGTGTGTCTGAACCCCGAACGTTATCAGGAAGGCTATTCCAGCGTTTGGGAGCCAAATGCGCTGAACAGTAAAGTTGAAGTTTATTCAACTTTAATTCAATTAAATTCCATTCAACTTTATTCTGTTGAAGTGTATTTCACTTCGGAACATTCATTCACGGATTTGCGCTACTGTCTTCACACACAGACGAAAACTTACTAGAGAAGTGTGGCATAGTATACCTCTGTAAATAAAACCAATATAAATTCACGTCTCGCGCACTTTAATGCCCTTTGAATTTAACGTGTACGTTCCCTTGGAACTAGAATCATGGCGGAATATCATGTGAAGTCCACTTCGCGGGGCACTTACGGTCGAATAAGACAACGCGTGAATGCTGCTGCCTGAACAAGTACTGAAGTGAAAGTGTTGACTGGTGTCACTATCTCGCGAACGCGCCGGCGGATCTCCACCAAATTCGGGGGATCCCTTCAGCTCGAGGAGCCCTCTCAAACGCCACCCTCCGCGCGTCGGTAGCCCTCCGGGATCGCTTGATCGGTTGGCGCCGGTCCACGAATTTAACCACCCGTAACTCCCGAACCCCTGTGGCTATCGACACGGCGGTGGTCTCATTCGAAAGCGGGCCTCTAGACGTACACTCGATTCGCGTTCGAGAGGGTTCCTCGAGCTGAAGGGATCCCCCGAATTTGGTGCGAATTCGCCACGCCGTTATGGAGATATGGCCGTTCAAAGTTTCAATGGTTTTCCATAGACTTAAGCTTTAAAGCGTTTCATCCAGGTCGCCAGTATCAAACAATGGAGCGCGCTCTGCTGGACAAACTAAGTAATTACACCATTTCAAGCGTTTTATCTGCGTTATATGTTCTGTAAAAAAAAGTTCATATCGGCGGCATATTCGCCGATACCGATATATCGGTAGACAGGCTCATATCGGCCGATAATATTGGCAAAACGGTATATCGGTCGGGCTCTAGTATTTTCATACAACCACTGGTTACCCACCAGATATACTGCATGATCTTCTTGAGGGAATTGTTCCTGTGGAGTTGGCCCTGTGTATTCAGGAGATGATTCGGCTAAAACTATTTTACCCTTGAGTTTTTGAACAGGAAAATTGTGTCATTCCCTTACCAACATTCAGACAAAAATGACAAACCACAGTCTATCTCAAAGAACTTTGCTGGAAAGAAGACCATTGGTGGCAATGGCCACGAAAATAGCACAATGTTGAGACTACTCCCATTGATGATTGGTAATAAAGTTCCTGAGGGATATGGTGCATGGAATGTTTTGATGGATTTGAAAGAGCTTGTAGAGCTGGTGTTGTCTCCATTTGATGATGAATCCATACAGGATTTGCAGACTAAGATACAGGATCCCAGACAGATGCTTCAGGAGGTTTTTCCTGAGTTCAGACTGCTCCCTAAGCATCACTATGTGGAGCATTATCCAGATCTCATACGTTGTTTTGGGCCTCTTGTCCATTTGTGGATGATGAGATTCGAGGGTAAACACCACTTTTACAAGCGTGTGGTACATGATACACAAAACTTTAAGAATGTGTTAAAAACACATCTAGGCGTCATCTGCTGATACTACCTGAATGCACCATCATTTTTAAACCACATCAGCAGACATCAAATGTCTCTTCTGTTTTGGTTTCATCTCTTCCAGAGGTCGCAAAAGTATACATTGGACAAAAAAACAGACAGCAACATGATTTACAGCACATCAAAGATCATTATTGATGGCACTGATTATGATGCTGGGATGTTTGTATCAGTGGAGCAGGAGGGGGGACTTCCTCAGTTTAGCAAAATTGATCAGATCCTTCTTGTTAACAACACCACCACATTTCTTTGCCAAGAACACAAATCATGCTACATTGAACACTTGAGATCATATGAACTTTCACCAGGGATATCAGAGCTCAATGACTGTCTCCCTTTGTCTGCATACAGTGTTGACGGTAAACTGCTGTTGACACCCAAACGATTCATACTGCTACACTGAAAGTTTGAGATTTGATTTTTTGATTTTGTCAACAGCTGAACTGTTGATTTTAACCCCAATTTTTAAAAGAAGGTCAAAGAATAAGGCTGGTATAATGTTTTTCTTAATGTCATCAATGCTTACAAAAATTTAAATTTACAGTGCCATTTTATTCCATTATAAGGTCATGAAAATTATACTGACAATGTGTAAATGGATGCTTTGAAACCATTTAAAGAGAGTGCTCACCCAAAATGTAAAAAAAAAAAATTATCTTTGAAACCTGAGTGATTTCTGTCCCTGCATTGAAAGTTGAAACTGTTAAGGCCCAAAAGCGACTGAGCGATTGTGTTCACAAGATAAACAGCGCAATTTATATGGATTAATTTTACTACTAGTTTATGACCTTTTTGGATCTTGAAAAATTTTGGTTGCTTTGGCTTTGTGTAGTGACATTAATTTAAAAATGCCATAATTTGTGTTTTAAAGAAACTAACCTCTTATTGGATTGGTACAACATGACGGAGTGAATGAGAGCAGATTTTGCTTTTTTGGGTGAACTGTCCCCTCAGCTAAATCTGAAACAAATGTATTGTCTTCCAGATGACAGCAGAACCCCAGAAATTCCTGCTACGTGTTTACATTGCCTCAGATGTTGCCATGAAGGTAACTCTGACAGAGCGGACAAAATCAGTGGAAGAGCTAATCAACATGCTGCGAGAGAAAGTCAAGCCAAGACTGGACTTTGAGTTTACACTGCAATATGAGGATCCTGACTTTGACAGAGAGCTTTGCTGTCTAGTTGATGTTCAAGACTTACCTGAGAAGGGCACATTGAAAGTTGTCAGATCAGAATCTGATACCTACACTAATACCAGTTCTAATACGGACATCCTCCCTCATGTGCCTGTAAGCCAGCGTCAGACGACCTGGCCTGATATATTCCCTGTGCCTACGTTTTCCTATGAAGTGGAGCATATCCTTGAAGAGGGAAATGTGGCCTTTGAGACATCTGGAACGATGCTGAAGTTAACCAGGGCCCAAAGCACAACATCTTAGAGAACATGGCTGAAGTGATGCACAAATTCAAACCATACCCCAGTGACAGGGACATAGGAATGGCAGCAGAGGCTCTCGTTACAACTCATCCATGTCTTAAGGAGCCTGGAAGTGTGAGTGGATGGTACAGGTGGAAGACTGGTCTCAAAATTAAAATGGTTAATTTTCGTACGAAGCTGGCCAGATCTGGATGTGTGGAGGTCTCTGTCAACACAGGCAAGAGGAGCAAAAACAACCCTGAAAAGGAACACCCCCACTCAAACATAAAAAGAACCAGACGGGCTGAAGTTAACTACCTTCCAGACTTCCCCAGAGGAGAAAACCAGGATAGTCTGGAAGAAATGAGAGTTCAGATTATTTCTGAAGTTGAGAAGAGAGAGAAAAACCTATTGTTGATAGAAAATCTTATGCAGAAGACCTTTGCCCTTCGTCGCCAGGAAATTGTTCTGGAAAACCCATTGATGAAGACCTTCTTAGAGAAATGGCCGGCCCTTCAGATTGAAGCACAGGTAAAACACAGACTCATCTTTATATTTTCTAAATTCATTATTGGTCATTATACACTTTTGTATACAACTTTTGGTTTTCTAGGTTTGTGCTGAGTTCCAACGCATTACAAATGTCAACCTACGGAACCAGTTCTATGCTGAGCTCGACCGACACACACCACAACTCATGGCATTATTCAGACAGAAGGCAGCACGCACGTACAAAGTATCAGAGATGCTGCGTGACATTCTAAGTGTTTATGATGTCCAGGTAAATTAAAGATTAACTTGGTCCAAATAAGATTCTGCTATGGACTGCTGTGAACTGTGTCAGCAGCAACTACAACAGTCTATTTCTTCATTGTATTCAAAATAAAATAAAGTTGGCTTGCTTACTTGGCCTAATTTTCACTTGTTTTTGAACGATTTTCATGATGCCAACATGAAGCGCACTTTAGCCCTTCGTGCAATCCCAGTATACTTATGTGAGGAGGACCCACAGTTCTTTAACGTGGGATGTATGTATTCAGTTCATACACAAATCTGCTAGTATCAGGCTGCTAAAATACCGCATTCAGCATTGAACTTACCTCATTCAACTACCTCTTCAGTCAGTTTAAATAAATAACTGCTCTCTGAGCTTTTTGTCACTTTAATCAGACTGAATAAGTTATTTTGCACTACAATCATTTTATCTGCACTGTTTGTTTACTTCACTGGTTTGCACTCTATCTGCCATGTGCCTTGCGCTGCTTTATTTAACTTTTTATTTTTTTACATGTCCTTATTGTATATTTGTATAGTTGTATTTTATATTTAATCTGTATCTATCTGTATTTATGTTCTACTGTTAGTGTTATCTGTATGCACCAAGGGTCTGAGAGTAACGCAATTTCAATTCTCTGTATGTACTGTACATGTGGAAGAATTGACAATAAAGCAGACTTTGACTTTGAGAATATTCACTTGTGAAATACCTACCTATATAATTGCCTGTTGAGCAGTGACGTGCAGTACTCTTCTTCAACATAAATGCTATTGTCTACTTCTGATGTACTTAGTTAAACTTAAACCTCTATGCTGCTTCCAGAGTGAGGAGTCAGGTGAACCAGACATCACAAGCCAATTTTCCATCCAATTTTTGCGATGTTTTGTTATCGACAAAGAGAATATGCGTAAAAATAACTGTGACATTTGCTGTCCCCAGCCCGTTTCCATCCAACTTGCTTTTTACCGATAAAATGATGTGTGATGACGTCATCCCTAAAAAAAAACGAATTGTCGCATAAGTTTTGGTGTGTCGCAAAAAAATTTTGCCCTTGAGCTGTTTCCATACATAATTTCACCTATTGCGCAAATTACATAGGCTAGTAGCCTGTTCTTCATCCGTTTGAAACTAAACTTTATATTATTTTTATTAACAAGTGTCATGCGTTTTTTTGGGGGGGTTTTTTGTACTTAGTTAGGCCTATAGACTATTTAGATACTTGAGCATCAAGCAATATTCATAAACGGGTGCAGTTGTATTATTTTGTTTCAGACTTTAAGTTTTTCTAACTTTTATTAGACTGTATCGGAAATAGATATGTTCATTTCGGTTATTTTATTTCTCCTAACCGACAACCGACGGTCGCTAAGCCATTATTAACCGTTAACCGACAAGATTGTTAAATTACAACGTGGCTGTGACCCATTAAAAAATACCTAAATTTGTTGTCCGGTGATTAATTGTATACACACATAAACAACAGAACGTGAGGATTCACTTGTTCACATCACGCACCTGCAGCGCTTCTGTAAAGGAGAAAAACATAATAAAGCTATAAAATAAATAAATAGGCTTATATGCGAAATATTGTCTAAATAATTAATAAATTAACAAAACGAAAGAGAGAAAAAAAAGTGCAATAAGTAGCAGTCTATATGCAGAATTTCGTTTCATTTTTGTGATGCGTTCTTGAGAAAGCGGCATCCTGTTTGTTTCCTTTATTTTACAAAACCACAATATTTTGTTTTTATTGTGAATGTAAATAAAATAAATATTTAAAATAGTTTCAAATAATGTCTTACTCTTATATGACCACAAAAGGAGGAGTATTGCAAGTTGTTTCCACTTTTATAAAGGGGAACAAAATCAAGTGATTGTGCCGTCGCCTCACGCGCGCAGTTAAGCATTACTAGCTCGTCAACGCAGCCTGTTCATTGTCATAAAATACAGTCAGCCAAACATAGGCCTATTGAAAAACCATGTTACTTTACTTCCCCTCACTCCACAACAAATCCTTTAAATTTAACGGTAGAACAGAACTGAGAACAAAACAAGAATGAGAATATAAGCTAACAAGCCAAAAAGAATGAATGTAGAATTTTGTAGGCCTACTTTTTGTACAAAACTAATAAATTTTAACTTGCAATGTAAAGGAACACCAAATTAAGATATGTATGTTTGAAAGGTAACCCGTCTTTTTCTTACCATATATAAAATTATTTTAGATACAATTTAATATGAATAGGCCTATGATTTAATGCGCTTTTGAAATACAGAGAAACGGTGCTTTAACGTGAGCAACACCACGAACACAGACGCTGCGTCTATGTTAATACGTCTATGCTAATTCTGTCATGTGACACCACATTTATTTGCGTTAAAGCCCCTTTTCTCGACAAAAAGTGTTTCCAAACAAATTTTTGCGACATTTAAACTATTGATATAGATTTTATGCGCTAAAGTTAAACGGAAAAAGATTGTGTCAACACATGAGACATTTTATCGATAAATGGCATTTCCATTAGCTATATCGGTAAAAAATTGAGGCGCTAAATATTTTTTCGCAAAAAATCCTTGGATGGAAACCTGGCTACAGACTGTCCCGTTGCTCTTGTCATGGTGGTCAACAGAGGCACTGCATGTCCGGTTCATTTCAATCCTGCAAGCATCACTATTGTGGGTGAAGATGATGTTGTGATGAGTACCCCAAGAAACTCTCTCTTACTTTTAGCTTCATCCAGAAAGTACTGATGGGTCTTGATGATGGCAAACCACTGAAACCCTGCCTACTCAGTCTCAAAAATGACCTGTTAAAGAATGTGTAGGCCATGTTAAGACTTATATGTAGGCACATGTATGTGTCTGTGTTCATACATTTGCATGTTTGTGATGCCGAGTATAATAACTGGTTTGTTGTTTATTATGTTGTGAAAGAGTGAAAGTGACATGTGGCCAAGTATGGTGACCCATACTCAGAATTAGTG